AAAAAAAAGTTTGTTTGTTGATTTAATATCTATGATTATAGATATATAAATGATTTTTTCCTTTCGTTACAACAGTTGCATAAATAACCATGCGTTTAAATTATACGATACATATTGTATTTTAAGTACTGTAAAAACAGTAGCAAAATTACATAAACAATGTTTTCACGTAGAATCACTGAATTATAATAGAAACATGTGTATATTTTTAATTAAAAACTGTATAATTTTTACATTTGTTATTATTAGTGTATCCATTTTTTAAATATTTTTAAATATTTTTTAAATTAAATTATTATTCAATAAATGTTAAATTTATTACATTATTATAAATCAAACATTTTCAGACATAGAATGCTTTTTGCGCTAATACTTCTTCAATGAGGAAAGTAGAGAATAAAAAGAGAGAGTAAAAAGATAGAGAATGATATAGCTGATTTTAATTTTTCCTGTCTTATTCCTTCCGTTTAAATGGAACGTTTAAAATTTACACTTGGCGTGTGTCTCGGATCTGTTTTGTGTTCGCATTCTGCATCACGAGTCGACGCTACGCCAATGCGAGCGTCTACCTTCCCGTTAAGTCAATCCTCCTACCGCGTCGGGCTCGCGTGCGACGCCGATGCCGACGATGTGTATTTCTCGTGTGTGACATCATTCGCGTGATGTAATCGTCATGGTGAGCGAGGCGGCCGCGTCTCCCACGCGGTGGCGAGCGCGTAGCGTTATCTATTAAATGAACGTAGACCTAGAGACTCGACAGGCGCGTTAACAGGACGCGCGCATCCACTTTCTTGATATCCGGTGACCCCGACGTCAAACTCGGCGATTAGAGTGGTCCAATCAGCCGGCGGAAGAGACGAAGGAAGGAGGAACTCGCGTGTCGGGCGAAATTTGGAAAAAAAAGACACGAAGACAAGTTCCGCGATGGGTATAAATTTTAGGAGCGACGATTGCGACACAGTGTGTTTTTTAGCTGACATTTTTTTACATCGCGAGCGCATAAAATTTAAATTAATATCTTGCGGTATATGAGCGACGAAATCGGGAAGATGATGTCGATTCTCGACATGTAAAAATAAATGTGAGTGTAGAAGTACGATCGCTCAAATTATTTGCGGTATACTCTATATATTACACGATTTGTAGGAGTTGATTTAAGAAAGTATGCCTCATTAAATGCTCTAATAATAGATCTGACGTTGACAGATTTATTACACGATGAATCCATATGAAATTGAAGATTATTTATTGCCTCGCCTTTTTAAAAAGCAGATTTATCGGTATATTTACCTTCAGATACCAAAGATACAACTTTTTGATGTGAAAAACAGATATATGTTGTACGATTAGACTGTAACGCTGAATATTGAAGAGAAGAAACGAGCATATCTTGAAGCGAAGCGTACTGAAGAAAAAGAAGATAAACACGCGATATCTACATTAACTACGTGGGCATACGCGATCATGTATTGTATCATCGAACAATGTTGCGTAACATTAATTTCTTTCGAAGTTCTTATTATTTACTCAATTATTAATCGTTAGATGTACCGTGCAGGAAGATAAGATTACTCTGCAATTCTTATCTGTACGCGAAGATTAACTGACGCGACAACGCGCTGACCGTAGCTTGCCGAAACACGGTTTGTGCATCGCATTGCTTATTATTACATTGCGTGGGTAGCAAAAGGAAGAAATTTCTATGATTATTGCCGATTATATCCTCGTTTTTATCGCGTGGTATCGCGTTTCCCGTGCGAATCGAAGATCGTAATTG